CCCCCCCCCTCCCGTTTATTCTTACTCCCCACTTTTCATTCGATACCTCAGAGTAGCCAGTCTCCCACCCTCACCCCAAGCCCCACTCCCTTTTTTTTTATCGCCATTCTGAAAACAATTAAATGTGTCTTTTTCATATGACGTCACAATGACTCATGTATGACATCAGAGAGAGTGGAGGACCATGATATGTGCTGAAGGTCAAATAATATTATTCCCACTGGAAAACTCAACCGGAATTACGTCATTCGATTTCGCAATATAGCACCTTTCTGAATGTTTGGTTGCAAACAACTGGCTGAGCACCTTCTGAAATGCAGTATAATGAAAGCGAACCAAACATGGACCAATTGATCATGAATAAAAGATGGCGATGGATTGGACACACACTCAAGAAGCCAACCCATAGATAAGGTGGAAGTGGAAGAGAGGAAGGCCGAGATTCACTTGGGAGCAAGAGCAAGAGGCAGATCTCAGGCACAGAAATATTACTCTTTATGGGACGCGGCTGGCTTGAGGTGGAGAAGATTGTTCTTCAGAATAAAGACAAGTGGAAAGCTTTTCTTCCTGTCTATACTCAACACCAGGGTGAAAAAAGTCGAATGATTATACTGATAATAATGTGTGATTTCTAATTTCAAGTTTGCTCTTTAAAAAAAACTTAAATTATCAACATTATAAAGACAAAAAGTAGCGAACGGGACACACTTTGGGAAAACCGTAAGGAAACATGATAGATGGAATCCAATGGGAAAGAGAGAGAAGGGAATGTTAGATCATCAATTATTCATTTACAGAGGCATCAGCCAGCCATGTCTAGGTGTTGTTTTACCCTAGAGGTAAAGTCCTAAAATCCTAAAAGATTCGGAGTAAAGATTTAGATTCAGACCTTAATGAGACAGTAAGAAACAGCAGAACATAGATGGAGACTTAGTCCAGGACAGAACTACACGGAGAGCTTTTGTTTGGGGCTTGCACTCCGGCACGGAGTAAAAAAAAAAGGATGATGATGATGATGATGATGATGATGATGATGATGATGATGATGATGATGATGATGATGATGAGGATGAGGCTGATGAGGATGAGGATGATGACGTGTCGTTTATATGGGCGGTCACTGCTGTGTGTTGTTAAGTAAAACACGCCAACCAATTTGAAAAGAGAGGCGCTGTACAGAGATGACAAGGAAAGGCGAGTTTGTGTTGTATCGCAAGGTTATGTATTACGTTCTGCTCTCGTAACTATTATCTAATTTACAAATAGTAATTTGGGTAGATGTACTTAATAGCAAAATCAACGCCTGTGAAAAGAGACGCCCTTGGAAAATGTTGACCCTTACGATAAGAGAGAAAGTGAGAGACAAGGCTACCAGGAAACAAGTTGGCTCAATTCCGTGCTTACAATACAAAGATAAACAACGAATTAAATGGTTTGGGCATCTGTCAAGGCTACCACCAGAAAGTGTAGCAACGAGAGTATACAACAACAACAAAATATCAGACAGAAACAGAGGGAGGGGCAGGCCCCGGAAAAGATTAATAAAGGGACTCAAAGAAACAACATAACAGTGCAACAGGTGATACAACAAAAAAGAAAATGTAGTTTGCTTCACCCCTCGACACTGCAAGAGGTAACAAAAGCCGGGGAAAAAACACAAAAGTAAAGTAGCTAAAGATACAGACGTATCTAAAATTCACAACCAAAATGAAAAGTAGTCCTTTACTCTTTTTTTTTTTTTTCTTTGAAATGTGCCTCGCGGAGTGGCCCACGGCAAAATATTCAGCAAATTGGTCATCAATTTATATCCGTAGCCAGTCCTGAAATATTTCTGAAATGACGGGGCGTCCATAACGCAAACCCTTTTTTAGCTCAGCTATGCTATGCACTGCTCTACAGGTCATCGCTAGGGTTCAAGGCCAAAGGGCAATGAATGAGCGGTCAGTGCAGTGGCCTGGCCATGATATATACGACCACCAGTCGAGGGCTTTTTACGAAAAGGCCGTAAGTCACAAAATAGTTACTTTTTAAAAATGTGGGGTGGAGGGGGGGCATGAAGCAATACCTTTCCTCCAATTAAAATAACTTTCCTTTTCAGAAGCAAATACACAGACGTTGACAGGTGGAATGTGGAAAATTGACGGATGTCCATTCATTCTGGGCCGGTTATTACAATATTAAATGCAACAGTGAGATTTTCTTATCGCCTCGT